GCTTTAACCTTCAACCTCTTTAGCTTTGGTCCCACTATGTTTATGACTATTTTTAAAGAACCAAATTTTTGGTTGCTGTTGAAAGATATTTAGAAGATCATTTATATAAGAGGAGAAACTTAAACTGGGGACATTGAATCTGGAGTTAAAACCTGGCTCTGTGTTCTCAGGCAGTGTAGTTTTTTGGTCAATTATGAGTTGGAGATGCCTACTGCTCAATTAGCAGGAATGAAGACATATGAGCGGTTTATGTCAAGGACAGGAGGCTGCAGAGGAAATCTGCAGGCCATCAAACCTGAATAAGGGAAAAGGCTTCCTATTCCAGTTCCTCCTGCGGGACCTCTTCAGGTCACTTTTATATTTACTCCAGAAGGACAAAGGAGGCATCGGTACTTAGAGAATAAATATTGTATGTGGACTTCCATCAGGAAACGCAACTAACAGAAAGCTGATGGTCACAGCTATTCTTCACCAGTGTGATGACTGCCAATCCCCCTCCGCCCTTTTGATTCCCTTATTTTTTTTTTCCAACCCTGTTCATTATCAATGCCATCAGGCGGGGCTCCCAATGTGGATCACTTTCAGAAGACTTGGCAGCCCCTGTGCCCCTAGATGCTTCCATTTCCTCTTTATGTGCACTTCTACATTTTCAACGAAGAAAGGGAGCCAGGAAGCAATGTGAGAACTAAACATAAGACTTGGTTACAACAAAAATGAGAGCATTCAAAGGCTTGATTGCCTGTTCCTTTGGCAATAGAGCTGCTCTGGAAAGGTCCTTGAGCCCTACTTCAGTGAAAATTAAAATAAATCACAGGCATTCTTCAAAGAAAAGGGATAAAATTATACATTTACCTCCAGGGTATCGATACAGGCATAGATTTAGATAGATGTGTTATATAGTTCATGCACCCATACTAAACACGCATATGAATAATCCCTATACAGATGGCCAAACGCTAACAGAGGAGCTTTATTCAGGACTCTGCAATTATGATAACTAGATATTCAACCAAAAGCCAAAAGGATGGTGTTAAGGCACAGAAATGAGCATGGAGAAATGGAATAGGATAAATTCTACCTCTTGACATCTTTATTGAAACAGGGCTGGTAGTCTATTGGACACTTGCAACAAGAGGCTTAAAACATATCAAACGATAATGAAACATAATTTCTAGGTTAACACCAAGATGAGAGCCACCATCTGGCACTTCTGCCAGTCTCAAAGCTGGACAAAGACACATATTACGAGGCCACACATTTGGAGGGAGAGAGGCAGAAATTGAAGAGGCTCACGTGCAAAATGGAAAGTCAAAATGAATCCTCCAAACTTCAACAACAATAACAGTTTAAAACAGTGTGTGAAAACCCACACATCCTAAGACAAAACCTGGACAAAATGACCTCCTGTCTATGACCATTACTTATCTGGAAGAATTTAAGTTTAGAAGCTTAGAAAAGCTCCACTATCTCTCTTTAACCATTCATACACAAGCTGCCCTCCAAATATTACTGTTTTCCAATTAACAACCTAAAGTGGATGGAGTTGAAAACTCTCTGTGATCATTCATTCCAACAATTAATATTTATCAACTGCCAACTTTGGCCTTGGCACTGGGTAAGTAATGATGAACAAGACCAATATGAACTCTGGGGCTCACAGTCTGGCCTCTATGTTCTAGATTGTACCATCAGGATTTGGTTATAGTGAACTGACAGAACAGATAGAAAAAAAATCCTATGAAGCTTACAGTCACATAGACCCATCTGCAAAGAACACGGCACAGCTCACTGCTGTATTCTAAGATCTAGGTTTAACTCCCTGATTTGGAATTTAGGGATCACCTTCCCATGGAAAGCAATGCCATCAATGATGTTTGGATTCTAGGGTTGATCCATAAATCTTGAGTTGCCCTGCATGCAGCTGCAGTGTGATTTTAAGAGATTTCTGGTTTGTGTTACCCTGGGAATCAGTTGAATCAATACTATTAAACCGTAATCTATAATCCCAACGCTGCTACCATGGATTGAAACAGTGGAGGCTGAAGTGCGCAATGCTGGGGATGCAAAAAGCTGGAAACACCTATGAGTGGGCTGGCTGCCGTCCTTCAGTCTCAATCTGTCCCCAGGACAAGGGAATATGCATGGCGGTAGAATCTCCCCAAAGGTGCTTAGGAGGGCAAGAATTACATTTGGAATAGCTCATTTGCACGTCAGCCATTGGCCTCTTACACAGAACCAAGGCACTGGTTCTGGCCAAGGATATGCACATTTCATACCGTTGTTACTCAGAAATCACAAGTGACATGTTTTCTGGTTATTTCAGGAAGTATAATAGTGTTTTTACACATTCTCCCCTTTTAAAAATGTATGGTTTTTCAACAGCTCTAATAGCATTTAAAGTACATTAAGTTACATTAATTTGCTGATTGAAGTATAGTTGATTGAAGAATAGTTGATGTTTCAAGTGTACAGCAAAGTGATTCAGTTTTACATCTATATATGTATATATGTGTGTGATATATATATATATATATATATATATATATATATATATATCTTTTTCAGATTCTTTTCCATTATAGGTTATTACAGGATACTGAATATAGTCCCCTATGCTATACAAGAGGTCCTTTTAACTTACAGTAATTGTTAAACACCACTTTTTAGGTAGTTTCATTACATGAGCCTCGTCTTCTCTTCTAGGTCCCCTAAATTACAGCTCAGCATTTGACCAATAAAACAAGAACCTCAACTCAGGCCCATTTTGTCCAAACCATGGCACAGTTAGACGTGTAGCTAAAAATAGAGAAAAAAGCTATTCTAAACAAGAACCTGAGTCTCTGAGACAAAATTTTAAAAATAATTTTATTTATGTCTAAAAATAAGGGAGTAAAACATATGCTCTAGTAGTTTCTGCCTGAAGAAAGTCATTTACTGGATCTGTGACAAGGTTAAGTAAAATCTTTCTTACCAATCATTAATGATAACCTTAGGTTATACCCGGAAACTGTAGGTGCTTCAGCAGTGGTCACCCCAAATTATCTAAATAAAAGACTTTGTCAGCCTTAGTGACAGAGTCACTATATGAAATACAATCTTCTCTGAAACAAAACGTCTGCCTTTTGTTCTCCTCCAGCACTGCACTACAGAGAGTGAGTTCACATTTACAGATCATTCTTCTGTTGTTTTCTTAACACAAAGTGGGGGTGGGGAGTGACTCCCAAATATTGCTCCTAGGGTTCCCAAAGCCTTTCTGAGCTCCCAGTAGGACCTGAACATACCCTTTCTCTGAAGAGCCCACAAGATGAAAGTTTCCAAGTCAACCCTCAAGACAGGAAAGTGACAGAGCTAGAATCTGGCTCTGTCCAGTAAACACTCTGCTCGGGGACATCCACCCCAAGTGCCTCTAAGGAAAGAAAGCATCTGATCAGGATGAAGAGAACAAAATCCCATGGGAGGCGGCTAACATACAGAGAGGAGAAGCCTAGGCCAGACCTGGGCGCCAGCCGAACATGGGGACCCAGAAAGGTCTTTGAAGCCATGGGTGGGTTTGGTTTGAAATGCCTCTCCCACATCTTGTCATGCTTGGAAAGAGACCTGGGAACCCATGTTTATCCCACAGAAAGGTGATTCTCTGAGAATGCTTGGGAAAAAGCAGCATCCCTTGGAAACCATCAGAAATGCCCATTTCCAGGCCCACCGCAGACCTATTAAATCAGAAACTCTCAGGGTAACCCAGAAATCTGTGTTTTCACAAGCTCTCCATGAGTTTCTGAGGCAAAGTCAAGTTTGCAAACCACCACCATAGGATTAATTAAAATCACTGCAGTACAGTCCCTCTCCCAAGCCTTATTCATAATTGGAGAATGAGAGGTCTTCCCTCCTTCAAAAGAAATGTCAAGGATCAACAGGCCAAACAGGGAGTCAGGAGAAGGTTTAGGTGTTTTTTTAAGGCTTAATTTACCACGGCTCCTCCTCATTCATTTCAGGTTTGGGAATCTTGGTCATGGGCACCAACAAAGGCAGAGGAAAAAGCATCAGAAATGGATCTGATTCACCCCAGAGCCCAGTGTACATTGGGCAATTTACTGCTACTTAAAGATCACTTTCAAGTAAGCAAGTGACATTAATGGTAATTGTAATGAACCGTACAGATCAAGAAAGCCCACCTGACTGTCTCCCCAACACAATTAAGAAAGACACCACTAAACCTTCCTCACAGATTTCCCAAGCGAGTGGCTATTCATAAGAGACCACGCAGAATTTAACGATAACATATGAGTCAATACATACGCTTAAATTTCAGAGCAAATGCTTTTTAATCACTGAAACTCTTGGCTACTTATATCACAAGAACATTTAAATACGTTTCCCCTGTCCCCCAAAATGAATTTTCAATCCTCTAAAAGAGACCAATGTTCTACTGAGAGGCAACAGAGACCCTAATTTTTAATCGAGCACTAGGAACTTTTCCACTAAAATAAAAAGCCACTCATTCACAGAGCATCAATGTACCTCCAAAGGCTGTTATTTTGCTTCCCAACACTTTAAATTTCAAAATGAGACTCTGAAAAAGCAGCAGCAACACAAAAAGCACACCATGGAAATTCTAGAAGTCAAATGTACAACAGAAAGGACCTTTCTACACAAAATACATGTGTCCATAACTAGCCTACTGCCACCCAGCCTGGCCTGCCTTTCTGAAACAAAAGTAAAACTCGGGTACTATTTTTTTATATCATTATTAGGCACTTGAAACTCAAGAAACCAGTTCTGTGTCTTCTGGGATAACTGTCCTCATTGGAAAATGAGTAGTGCTGAATAATCAACATGATTTTGCTCTGTCTTGATTTGTAGTATCATAGCCTTGTTCCTATTTTTTCAGCCTTCACCCCTAGTCATCGTAAATCTAGCTGCTTCCTTCTTTAGTGGTAATTAGCATTAGTCACAAGCCAAAAATGATTCCACATAAGAAGTAAAATAAACACAACCCTTCTTACCTTTCATGCCAAACTTGGAGTGTCTTGCCAACTTCAGCAGAAACAGCATTACCAGCAGACAAAATCCTACTACAGATGCAATTACCACCACAGCATAGACCTAGAGAAAGGAAGGGAGGGCAGTTATGGTCTTGATAATTAGTTTCTTAAATCCAGGTGATGCTGATTTTGATGGAGATGGTTAATATTTATTGAATACTTACTACCTGCTTTTCTAAGAGCTTTATGGATATCAATTAATCTTTAACAACCCTAGGAAGATTTATGCAGGTCCTATTATTATCCCTATCTCTACAAATGAGAAAAGATAAGTTAAAGCTTATAAAAATGGGGACCCAATTGATATTATACAGATTAACATATACTAATACATCCTATATTATTATATAATGTATAGATAATAGATATTTTATCTCTCCCCATCCATCTATCTACCTATGTACCTACCTACCTACCTATCTGGAGAGAGAAGTGAGAGAGAGAGTATATAAAACATGAATGACAAAATACTAATAATTTTTGAGGCTGCTGAAAGATATAATGGGGTTCATTCATGATTTTCTCTACCACTGTACATGTTTGAAAACTGTCCATGATAAATTTTTTTTTTTTAAGTTGACTACTGTTGCTCTTAGAAGTCAGGGTGCCCTAGAGCAGTGAGTAGGTCTGCAAGGGAGCAGGAAGGCACTTGTGGGTGAGCACACCCTGTGAAAGCTCATGAGGCTGTAGACTTATGACATGTGAACTTTTCTGTATGTATGAGAAAGATCAATACAAAGTTGTTTTTTTAACTTAAAGGTGTAGCTGCAAGTTGTGAATCATACAAGGAGAGAGAGTAGATGCAGATCTTTGTGAATCCTGTCACAGCCCCAAGCTGGGGATCACAGAGGCACAAGTGCATAATGCTAAGTACACACTAACAATTTAGAAACAAAGATCGACACAGGACTATGCATCATCTTCCATTTTGGCTGTTTACCCCAAAGTCCTGCTTCCAAAATAAATTTGTTTCTATAAACCAGGAGTTGGCAAACTTTTCCTGTAAAGGGTCATATATTAAATATTTTAGGCTCTGGGGACCTACAGTCTGTGTTGCAACTAGACAACTCCCCTGCTGTAGTGTGAAAACAGCCACAGACAATATGCAAACAAATGGGCATGTCTGTGTTCCAATAAAACTTTATTTACCACAACAGATGGACAGCTGGATTTGGATATAGTTTGCCTAAACTGTCCTAGATGTCCATACTGACTTAAATGTCTAAGTTTCATTTAATCCACATAACAGTCCATATGACATATTATTATTGTCCCCATCTGTGGTAATCATTAGTGCTGTTTCCCAAACATTTCTGTTTTCCCCTGTGTTTCCCTTTGTAGGATTCACTTCCTGGCTTCCTTGTGGTGAGATGGGTTCAGGTGACTAGTTCTGGCCAATGAGTTGAGACTTGTATCACTGCCAGGAGGAGGATTTCACTGCTTACTGCAAGATCTTAGACTAAAGCAGTGGTTCTCAACCGAGGATAATGTTGCGCCCAGGGGACATTTGGCAATTTGGAGTTGTCACAACTGGGAGAAAGGTGCTACTAGCATCTAGTGGCTCAAGGCCAGGGATGCTGCTAAAGATCCTGCAGTGCCCAGGAGAGCCCCCCACAAAAAAAATTATTCATCAATAATAGCAGCGTTAACAGTGCAAGGGTAGTGCTCTCTTTCTCTGTGCCATAATAAATGCTAACTTTTCAAAAGGCGGCTGCCTTGTCAGCCTCATCTTGGAATGAGGATGATGCTGATAGAGCTCCCAGCCGATACGTGTAATGAAGCAATAAATAAACGTCTGTTGTTTTAAGCCACTGACACTTGGGGGGTTTTGTTACTGCAGCATAGCTTATCCTGACTGATATACCCAGCCCACAGTGAGAGGCAGTGTCAAGTGGAGATTAAGAATATGGATTGTTCCTGAGTTTGAAATTTAGATTTACCACTTACTAACTACATGGTTTCCAAATTACTTAACCTCTCAGCATCTCATAAACCTCATGTATAAAATAGAAAATATGATAACACTACCTTGCAGGTTGTTATAAATCCTCAATTAGTCAATGCAGATAATGGGCTTGACATAGTGCTTACTATAATAAGTAATTAATTATGTTGGCTATGATGATGATGATAAAACTGAGATTTATAAAATAAATAAATAAATAAGCAGCCCAAGATCATACCTCTCAAACTTGGGATTGGAATCAAAGTCTGCTCAAGTATAAAACCTGTGACTTATGTGTGATTTACCCACTACATTGCCTCTCCAAAGCATGTGGCTGAGAGCGAAGGCAGGATAATAAAAACATATGGCTAATCCCTCCACAGCACCTTCAGATGAGGTCAGATGGGGACAGCATTAAATAAGCTACAAAGCACAGAAAAGAGCACATGCCAAACAGTTGGCTAGGATGGAGCAAAGGTGTAATCATTCTCTCCTCTGGTGCTTCAGCTGTGAGTGGCTGTCCCACAGAATGCTTCTGCAGATGTCTGAGTACAAACTTAACTCTGTCTCTGTGGCCTATATATAAATAGAGTGGTAGTGATTCCTAAAAGGCTAGTTATAAATCAACTTGTTCTAACCAAGATCATTTCCCTCAAACTTACCTAATGATTTCGGATGTTTCTTTCTCAATCTTTATTTCTAACTAACATTTGCAAGGGAAAGAGATCATAATATTTTAGCTATAAGTTTCTCTACCCTATTATTAAATTCCAAAATTCTACAGATGAAAGAAGAATTCATTAATAAATGAGTTCAAACACTATTTTATAGATAAGGAACCTGGGACAGAGAGACATTTGGAGGACTTGCCCTGAGTCCCAGGATCACTCTGCAGAACCACAGTCTTACCCACTTTGGAAAGTACTCAGCTGGCATTCAAGAGACCTATGTCCTAATGAACCCAGGATACCTTGCCTTTACCAGCTGTGAGACCTCACAGGTGCTTCACTTCTCCCAGCCTCTGTTTCCTCACTTGTACGTGGGGATAATAATACCTGCCCTGCATTATCTACTTCATTAAAGAATATTTAAGTCATCTTAGAAAATGGAAAGGTGTTCTTCTCCAGAAAAGCAGCTGATGATCTGCTAACAAATATTTAAACCTATTGAAGCAGTTCTAAATGTAAAGAATCCTTTAATAAACAAAAACTCCTGTGACAATGAGAAGAATCATTTCCTCAAAAACAAGTTATTTGATAAATACAGAATTTCATGTACTCTGTGCATGTGTGCTGGGGTGGGGGTGGTCTTCACATGGGAGAAAAGCAGGAGTGAGTTTGTTTGTTTGGTTGGTTGGTTGGTTAGTTGGTTTTTATCTGAGGCTACCTCTCAGCACAGAACAAAGAGCTGCTCTCCTCTGCAAATCCAGCAGGGTTCATGAGGAGCATCTGCTAGACCAGAAAGGTGACTGCTTAAGGCTGTCTTGCAAATGCTCTGAAAACACCTTTGAATTTTGTATCAGCTCCCTGACTCTGAAACTCTTTTTCTAATCTAATGATCTTTCCTGTGATCAGGGACTGTTACGTATCAAATATTTGATCCACACATAATTTAAAAGTTTTCTTTAAATTCTACAAAACATTGCCTTGTATCTCTCATGCAGATCTCTAAGAGCCACAGGTGAAGTCGAAACATACAGACTTTCAATGAAGATTATTTTCACTCCTCTTGCCTTCCAATGACACTACTATAGATAGTTCAAACATCAAGATACACCAATTGGGGGCTTAAATTTATCATTTGGGTTCAAAAGAGAAAACTGAAGTTGGTATATAATTTTTAGTAATTGGAATACATACACATTTGTGGGCTTAACACATGTTCCTTGGATTCCTTACATATGCAAACAACGTTCTCAAACCAAGAAACATTAAGTGGTTTGGTATGAGAGTAAAAACTGAAATAAATGCATAAGGCAGGAATTAGAAAACATTCTTCAGTTGATTTAACACAACAGTTTTCCTTGTTATTTCAATGCAATGCATATAGTCATCTGTGGAAATGTGTGTGTGGTGTGTGTCTCCAAATACTGGATGTGCATATTTTGAGTTGCAGTTAAGTTGTATCTATTTATGAGCCTCCTGGTCCCACTGCATGGCCCTGGTTTAAATACCCATCACATCTCTTTATCATTGCACCAGACACCTAAATCATCATCACCCCACTTCTAATCCCTCTCTTCTGAAACCCATTCTATAGCGTTCATCATTAGTCTAATCACCTCCTAGGTGCCAGGCACTATTCTAAGGACTAGGGATACAGCCATGAAAAACACTGAGTTGCCTATACTAAGAATCTTACTAAAGAATCAGGGAAGGGAAAAAGATATTGAACATGTAAACAAATAAATAATCAAGGTAATTGCACACAATAATAACTGCTCAGAAGAAAATGAAACAGGGTAATGGCTGCTGCTGGTCACTCTAGCTAAAGCTATGTGATGACCATTGGGAAGTGCATACCTTCTAAAGGGAACGGCAAATGTGAAGGCTGTGAGACAAGAGTAAGCCTGGAACATGCAAGAGAGTATTTTAAAAAGATAGTTGGTAAACAGTGAAGAGAGTATGGAGATGAAGTCAGAGAGACAGACAAGGTCAAGATATGTAGGGCCCTGTTAACCACCATGAGGAGTTGGTTTCTATAACAAAAGTTTTATTACAATGCATTGGGAAGACTCTGAGAATGATAATAAAAGAGTGATCACTCAAGGGAGAAGGCTCAAGTGTGGTGTAAGAAGATCCTAAACTCATCTCCTACCATGGACACAGCAAATCTTTCAACTAAATATAAAATAATTCCCTCAGAAAGGGACCTGAAAACTAGATGAACAAAGCCTCCACTTGTGCCATCACAAGTATAAAATGGAGGAATGGGGAGTAAGAAAGATAAAGCTTTGGAATGTGTTCAAATTTAAGTTGCTACCAACTTAAAATAGGCTACTACTTACATAGGATGTTATATGTGAACCTCATAGTAACCACAAGGGAAAAACTTATAGTAAATCCAGGAAAAAAATGATAAGGGAATCGAAACATAACACTAAAGAAAACCACCAA